TTTAGGGTTGGGTGGGGGGTTTTTTACCTTTTAAGCTACAGTGATTAAGCAGAGGTTGGTGCTGTAACCAGGGACCAGCGGAGGCTTTCCTGCAAAAATGATAAAAGAATTCAAAGCACCACCACTGGGCCCACCCACCTACATGAACCACTTAACTCTGCCCACTTTCCTGCTCTGTTCTATAAGGATACTTTCAGTCAAAATCTGTAAGGGACAAAAAAAAAACCCCTGTTCCTCTGGTTGTTCGTTTCTGCAGAAAATTCAAACCATTCAATTTTTATTTTTTTTTAGTCACTTAGTAGAAGCTTCATGACAACTATTCTGATGTTATTTTTGCATTGCATTGAAAAACTCTACAGTCTGGTATAAAAACAGGCATGCCGGTTGCTTGATTTATCCACGCTCTCCCAGGGTAGACCTCTGGGACCTTCTCCTTCACTTGGGCTCCATCTGCAACTATACATTTAAAGCAGGTTTCCCCCAAAAAATCCCAGGAAACGTCGTTTGCTAAGGGTGCTGAGCGTTGTTAGAGAATCCCTCTGCCACCTCACAGAGCTACAATTCTCAGAGTCGTTTACCAATCAATCCCGCATCCCAGCAAAATCTGGGAGTTGTAGCTCTGGGGGTCTCCTAACAATGCTCTGCACCCTTAACAAACTACAATTCCCAGGATACTTTGGAGGAAACCCATCCCTGTCTAATATGGCATGATCCTGCTTTAAAAGTATAATGCTGATGTGGGCTTAATATTGGGATGACATTGTTCTACCCAGACACTGAGGTGCAGCTCTGAGGGCCTTCTGGCAGTTTCCACACTGAGAGAAGTGAGGTTACAGGGAACCAGGCAGAGGGCCTTTTCGGTAGTGGCTCCCACCCTGTGAAACACCCTCCCATCAGATGCCAAAGAAATAAACAAGTATCTGACTTTTAGAATACATCTGAAGGCAGCCCTGTTTAGGGAAGTTTAGGGAGGTTTTTAATGTTTGATGCTTTATTGTGTTTTTAATATGCTGTTGGAAGCTGCCCAGAGTGGCTGGGGAGGCCCGGCCAGATGGGTAGGGTATAAGTAATGAAGAAGAAGAAGAAGAAGAAGAAGAAGAAGAAGAAGAAGAAGAAGAAGAAGAAGAAGAAGAAGTGCCTTAAGTCCTTTCAGATGATTCTTCATCCTCTAAGATTTTTAAAGTGGTGGGAGGAGCATTTTGGAACATGTCTTAGGACAGGAGTTCATCACCTCTTCCCTGCACTTCTAAGTCTATGAGATGAATGAATGAATGAATGAATTGGGAAGGGGTAGCTTCTTGAAGGCTCTGTCTCACAGAGTCAGATGGGCCCAAAGCAAAGGCACCTGCTGAGTGAGCAAGATGCAGGTGATTGTCCTTTCCTGTAATGGCTGTGATGTTCACAGACTTCAGAAGCTGCACTCTGCAGGGAAAGGCGTTTCTGTGTGGCTGGCTGGGTGCGAAAAGCCTCCTGTATCTATCTAACTGATGGTTTCAAATTTACGAGGAAGGACCATAGCTCAGTGACAGAGCGCATGCTTTGCATGCAAACAGCCCAAGGTTCAATCCCTAGTATCTCCAGGTAGGGCTTTGTGTGTGTGTATTCCTCTCTGAAGCCATCAAGAGCTTCTGCCAGTCAGTGCCGGTGATACTGAACTAGATGGACTGTCAGGAACCAGCTGGATGAGGAAGAGCGGTGGAAGCTGCCCACCCAAGAGCTCCCCAGGGAGGACACAGAAGACAATGTGTTGAGATCCCGGATCCTGGTGGTGGGACACTGAAGAGCAGTCTGCAGAAGGGATGAGCTGGGAGGTGCTAGAAGCAAGGGGTTTGAGCAATCAAGGGGTTGTTCAGGAGAAAGAGGGCCTTTCAGGAGAGGGTTAGAGGCTGAGAGTCACAGTGTGAATGCAGATTCAGGCTGAGAGGAGTCAGAGGTTGTCCTTGCTACCCAGAAGCAGGACAGCCCCAGTCCTGGTGGCTCTTGTCCCCCTCTGACACCCGAATCAAGGAGAGTCCTACACATTGCTGAGCAGTGGGTCAGATAGGCTCAGAGGAGGAGCCCAACCCCTCTTTGCAGCCTTTGGAGGGATCCAGAGGTAGACTCAAGAGGGGCAAGTGGTCGGTTTCAGACTAAAGTCATGGTGTTTTCAAGGAACTATAGGGACCATAGATGGTATATGGATAATCAGTTGGCTGAGCAAGTTAAAGTCTTTCAATAACCCAGCCTTATTTTTCAGTCAACAGGGTCACGGGGAGACATCAGAAATATGCAAAGGAAAAAGCATCTCACAGTGCCAAAATTCTGACACGCTTTTTCCATACGAAAGGTGGCAGTCATATCTCATCAGCACTTGAAGTGTGTAAAGCTAAACCCCTAGCACAGTTATTATATGCGGCTCAGATTTGGACAGGCGCTCACCTTGGAACTACAGAAGCTGTTCAATCTTAAGTTCCTAAGGCAATTTTTTTCTGTTCCATCCAGTGTTCCAAATGCTTCATTGCGCTTGGAGGCTAATCTCCCCTCTGTTAAATTACAGATTTGGTGTAGGACATTTAATTATTGGCTTCGGCTAAATTTAAACCCCACCGGTCTACTACCCTTAGTATCGCAAGATTGCCATGAGAGCACTTGGACTAAAATTGTCAACCAAAAGTTTTACTTTTCTGGTTTATCACTACAACAGTTATTAACATTGGGCTTCAGTAAAGCAAATAATTTAATTAGACAGTGCCTATATGATATTGAGAGACAGAATAATTTGGCCATGATGAGGAAATTTTGTACATGGAATGAATATTTTCCACCTAGTTATTTTGACACGTTGGCAACCACTTTGCAAAATTTAACAATTCCAAAATACAGACGCGCTTTCACTTGCGCAAGATTGAATATCATGCCTTCAGCTCAACTTGAGGGTCAATTTCAAAAAATTCTGCTGGAAAAACAGTCATGTCCATGTGGAGATGGCTGTATTGAGTCAGTGGTTCATGTGCTTCTAGCTTGCACTCTTTATAAAGATTGGAGGGGTGAGGTTGTTACCCCTCTATTACTATCCATACCAGGTCGCTCAACCATTGCTGTGTCCTTTCTTTTAGCAGATCAAGATAATCAGGTGACAGCAAAAACTGCAATTTTTTTAGCAGGGACAATTAAAATAAGATTTATTATTTATTGATGTAAACCTCCAGAATGTATTTTGTATAGTTACGCTTTTACCTCTATCTCCAGTATATTTTATTTTATTTTATTGCTATGGCTAGTGGCTGATGCAAATAAAGATTCTTCTTCTGGTCAGTTTCAGCAATGTCTCAACTGGATTAAGGGGAGCCAGAGGACTCTGCTGTGTTGTTATTTTCTGCTAATAAAAAGCTAATTCCCTGCCTCCCATGTGCGTACCTGCCCTGTGGTTGACCTGGCTCACTTGTAAGCTCCTTCAGATGAACTGATGGTCTTACTTGGTATCAGGCAGCTTCCTATAAGATGTGAACTTTAGGCTTCCATACCATTGGGGAAGGGTTGTAGCCCTATGGTAGAACACTTGCTTTTCATGCAGAAGGTCCCAGCATCTCCTGCCATCTCTCCTCTCTGAAATCTTGGAGTCCCCCTCCCAGTTGAAGCTAGATGGAACCATTGGTGTGACTCAGAATAAGGCAGTTTCCTGTGTTCCTGTACCACTGTAGTCCCTTGTCCAAATAATTCTTCCTTCCACTTCTTAAGCCACAAGTTTAACATGAGTCAACTGTTAACTGTTAACAGTTAATGCTGTTCTAGGATGCCTCAACAGAAGTATAGTGTCCAGATCAAGAGAAGTAATAGTGCCACTCTGTTCTGCCTTGATCAGAAGTACTGTGTCCGGTTTGGGGCAGCACAATTTAAGAAGGATGTTGACAAGCTGGAATGTGTTCAGAGGAGGGCAACCAAGATGATCAAGGGTCTGGAAACCAAGGATTATAAGGAACAGTTGAGGGAGCTGAGTATGGCTAGCCTGGAGAAGAGAAGACTGAGAGGTGATATGATATCCATATCTGAAGACCTGTCAAGAAAGGTGATTCCAACTAAACATTAGGAAGAATTTTCTGAGAGTAAGAGTTGTTTGACAGTGGAACAGGCTGCCTCAGAAGGTGGTGGACTCTCCTTCCTTGGAGGTTTTTAAAGAGAGGTTGGATGGCTATCAAGGGTTCTTTAGCTGTGATTCCTGTATTGTAGGGGTTTGGATTGGATGATCCTCAGGGTCCCTTGCAAATCTCCAATTCTATGTTTCATGTCTCTTGTTTGCTCGCATTCTTCTGAGCCTTCTTGTCCAAGGCTTCATTCCTAGCCCCTTGCTATCTTCTCAGGCTACTGCCCCCTCCTTTCCTGCTTTTCTTACCCCCCTTTCCCTAGGCACTTTTCAGCTGTTGTGCCCCCAGAAACCTCAGACGGTGTAGCTACAGACCCCTTTGCTTGTTCCATTCCACCATAGGGCAACTTAGTCTTTATCAGTGCCAGAGGAAGTGAGGGTTTGAGGGCACACACAGAAAAGAATAATTCATGAATCAAAAAGGCTCTTCTTGACCCCCTTCACTTGCTAAAATTGAATAGTTAAGAGCAACATATTTTATTAACAAGAATTGACAAACAGTACTGCAGACTTCTTCCTGGCACATCGTTGAATATTGAGATTGATGTTAAATGCTTTCTGGTTTTTTTAAAAAAAGCAAAACAAAAACAAAAACCTTTCTACAAGCAAGCAAAACGCAGCATTTATTTCTCGTCTGCTGCAATGCAACAATTTGAGTGGACAGATTGGATTTGTATAGGACCCGCCTTGAAAGCAGCCTTCTTATTCAGGCCACAGAAGAAGAAGAAAAACAACCCTCCTCTCATGTTGCCATCTTGAAATGCGTGGTTACTGATCCACTTGCATGTAGCCTCCATTTTTATGCCCTTTCCCACTCACCTTCCATCTGTTATGGGTTTGTTTCTTTGTTTGTTTTGCAGCCGCCATTTTGGACGACCCGATGGAGTGCAGCAGAGGCGAACGGCTCTCTATCACCCTGGCCAAGAATCGGATAAATCGAGCTCCGGAGCGGGCAGGGAAAGCCAAAGTGGAGGTGGACATTTTCGAGCTGCTGAGAGACAGCGAATATGAAACAGCCGAGACCAGTATGTATGGCTCTGGGACCTGGGTTTTGTGAGCATTGCTCAATTTCTAAGCAGTAATAACAATAATAGTAATAACTGGAAGTGTCAGCTTCTGAACTAGAGATCCTACCTTTGTGCAGATGTCTTACTGCTGTTTCTGTGGTTTTCTGTTGCAAACTCATGGCCCCCCCTTTCCCATTTATTCTCATGACAACCCTGTGAGGCAGGTTAGACTAAAAGGTATTGACTGGTCCAGGGTCATCCAGTGAGCTTTATGGCAGATTTGAACACCACACCACCCTTGCTCTCAGTTCCTGCTTGGATAAAGAACTAGGAAAAAGAGTTCCATGTGGAGAGAGATTGCTAAGCACTCTGGGAATTGTAGCTCTGTGAGGAGACGTCTAACAACTCTCAGCCCCTTAAACTACAGCTCCTGGAATACTTTGCAGGGAAACTGAAATATACTTGGAGTCGAGAGTGGATTTCATGCTCTTTATTCAGCTCATAGTGGTGAGGAGGAATGGAATTCCCCCAGAATGTCTGCTTTATATACATTATTTACACAATGGGCCCCACGTGATTGGCTAATTCCAGGATTCTCCTGCAGGCCAATCAGGTCACGGATTCACTTCCACCTGGAGCTGGAAGGTGGCTCCTGTGGACCAATCAGACTGCTGCATTCTGAATCCTATTGTTCTAGGACCAATCAGACTGCTGCATTCGGAATCCTATTGTTCTAGGACCAATCAGACTGCTGCATTTTGGATCCTATTCAACTCAGTACATAACAGAAACCATGACTGTTGGAGTGGTATCACAGTGCTTTGAATGTGTGGTGTGAATGTGGCTCAATTTTTTTCTTGTCTTCTTCCCGTGAGACATTGGGGTTGGACTTGATGACCCCTGGGGTCCCTTCCAACTGTACAGTTCTATGATTTATGGTCCCTCCTATGCATTACATTCAGAAAGAGACGTTCCTCTGCATCCTTATCGCCATAAGCAATCTAATTGGAACCAACGGGATTACTCACAAATAGTAAGCGTTGTGCTTGATTCTAGGCTCCAAGAAGATCAGGACTCACATTAGTAACACTGCATGTCTCTTTAGCTGTGACAGTGCCCTCAAGACATTGGCCTGTGATAATTACCTAAAGTGTGTAATGGGGTTTGATAATGGCCTAGCAGGATGGCTGTGCTCCTGACGCTGAGCCCCTTTCTCAATTTATGAAGCACACGTGAGTAAAGACCGTAAAATTTTCATCATGCTCCTGGCTTGCTGCATGGGGCACTTCCAGAGCAGGAACATTGGTTAGGGTATTAAAATACATTAGCTAGCATTTATCAATTAACACGCTGTAAACACCACTTTGCGCCTCGTTATAAAGGCGCGAATGTTTGCAATACCTCTTGGGTCTCATGCTTTATAATCCTGGCGATTCTCTTCTTGGAATTCCCACACATAGACTCATCACATTTACAGGATTTCTCTGATTTTAGCACATTTAAAGCACATGAATCTCAGCTTTCGTCTTGTTGTTTAAAGTTAGCTTTTAGCTTTGCCAGGTGTGAAATATATATAAAATACTGCCTACTGTGAATCCAGAAAGCAAGGAGGACAGAAATCCACAGAAGTGGGCTCTAGCACGAGCTATTAGCTATGGCAATTAAGTGAATACTGATGCTTTGAATGTTTGCCCACCAACTTTTTTTGAAGGGCACATGGGGAACTTTTGTGCAGACCAAATTGCTCCCCCTTCAAGCAGTATATTTTGCGCTGCTATTGACAGCTGTCGCATCCCCTCTTATCTGCTGCTTTGACATTTCCCTCTCCAGTTCCTGCCCTTCTTTCTCCTTCTCCAAGAGATCCCAGCCAGTTAGGGACCACCTAACTGTGTTGATGCTACAGTGCCACATAGGTAGCAGTATCTGAATGCATAGTGAATTGTCAGTACGTTTCCAAGCACAATTCAAAGTGTTGTGCTGACCTTTAAAGCCCTAAACGGCCTTGGTCCAGTATACCTGAAGGAGCGTCTCCACCCCCATCAATCCACCCAGACACTGAGGTCCAGCTCCGAGGGCCTTCTGGCGGTTCCCTCGCTGTGAGAAGCTAAGTTACAGGGAACCAGGCAGAGGGCCTTCTCAGTAGTGGTGCTGACCCTGTGGAATGCCCTCCCTTCAGATGTCAAAGAGAAAAACAACTACCAGACTTTTAGAAGACATCTGAAGGCAGCCCTGTTTAGGGCAGCTTTTAACATTTAATAGGTTATTGTATTTTAATATTCTGTTGGAAGCCGCTCAGAGTGGCTGGGGAAACCCAGCCAGATGGGTGGGGTATAAATAATAAATTATTATTATTATATATTATCATTAGGCCAAGGGAAATGGAAAGGGAGGGCAATGCTTCCTGCCCATATTATGATTAGCTAAACACTTTCACTTACTCCCTTTTTGCAAGCTTTCCCACCCCACCCCACCCCCCAAAAAATGCCCAAAGAGGATGATTGGGCAGCAGATAATGGTATTTGCAAAAAGTTCCCCACCTGTCTCTTAGCTCACCCTATAAATAGTAACCCTATCTTCAGAGGTTCCTTTTTAAAGCTGTCTAAGCTCATGGATACTAGAACGTATTGAGGGAGCCATCAGAGTTCATTGCAGAGAGTGTGGAAGGCCATGGTTTACGTGTCCCAAATTCCCCTCAACGTTTTGGAATCAACTCATGCTGAAATCAGCTCATATTCAAAACTTCAACCAGTTCTTAACATTCGGAGCGTGGAACTTCAGGCAAGAAGTCCTCAAGTCCTGCAAAGTTGGCATTCAGTGGTTTGGAAACAGAAGCTTTTTTTTTTTACGGTAGACTGCCCTGTCTGTCCCTGATGCCTGAAAGCCCCTTTCGTACTTTAGTGACATCCTTTAGTGACATCCCAGACATCCCAGAGATGCAGTGTTAATATTTCCACTCACCAAGCGGAAGAGCACTCAAAAGATGAGGAATTGGATAAAAGCAAGATTCCCAGACCACCCTCTGCTTGCCTCTCCCCCACCCTTCCAGCTTTTAGGTCATCTAAGAAATAGGCTCCATAAATTTAAGGATTTGCTAGTGCTCAGGTTTTGCCTGCCTTTTCACCTTTGGCTCTGTGCAATTGCTTGTTATGGCGTACAATATTAATAGAAGCCATTTAGATACTTTAACCTATGGCTGCGAGGCTTTCAAACATCTCTTTAATACCATTGTCAGGTTTCGGGCATTTTGAATTACTCCTAAGTACCGCTGTTAGCTGCCTAAATCTCATATCCCCACAATTACATGCATCTAGAATGATGACATTATGTATTCTATACTATTAGCATTTTAAAGAGGGTCCTATGAGATACACATTCATCCTTTTCCCCATCTCTTCCTGTCTTTTTTGCTTATTCCATTTCTTTCCTCCTCTCCTCTTTTCCCCTTTATTAAATCTTCAAAGATAATACATGAATATAGAAAGGCATCCATCAGCGAAAAAGAAAGGGAGGGGGGACAAGGAAGAAAAGAAACATTACATCATCTGCTCTACAATAAAATGATTGTGATGTAGTTCTTAACCAGTAAAATCCTCTCTCTCTCTCTCTCTCTCTCTCTCTTCCTTTGCCCCATTCCATCTCACAGATTTCCCTACTATGCAAATTTATCTCACCATTATGATAATATCTCAAACTCCTCTGAACTGTTCTATGAGAAGCTGGAGTAGAGGGTTGAGCTCCAGATCAGCAGCTAACTACTACAGTATTAATAAATATAAAAAAATAAAAAATTGTCCAGTAGCACCTTAGAGACTAAGTTTGTTCTAGGTATGAGCTTTCATGTGCATGCACACTTCTTCAGATACACTGAAACAGAAGTCACCAGACCCTTATATATAGTGGGAGGGTGAGGTTTTCCTCAGAAGCGTAGTAGGAGATGGGTGATTGACTCAATGGGTATGGTAAGCCTGTTGATGACTGCAATTAGTCCTACAGGAAAAAGCAAGGGATAGTATGCAGATGACCAAAACCAGCTTTAGCATGTATAATGAGACAAGAATCCCATATCTCAGGTCTCTCCATAGTTTTCAGTTTAGTAATAACTTGTAATTCAGCAACTTCTCTTTCAAGTCTATTTCTGAAATTCTTTTGTAATAAGACAGCTGCTTTGAGATCCTGTATTGAATGTGCTGGGAGATTGAAGTGTTCTCCTACTGGCTTCTCCGTCTTGTGATTCCTGATGTCAGATTTATGTCCATTTATCCTTTGGCGTAGGGTTTGGCCTGTTTTGATTTACTGCCTGTTATTCGATTGTGGGCTTAACAGTGTAAGAAGAATTTGCTGGATCAAGCCAATGGCCCACTTGTCCTCACCATGGTCAGGAAACCGGCAAGCATTACCTAGGCACAGGGCACACTCCCTTCCTGCAGTTTCCAGCAACTTGCATTCAAGAGCATTACTGTCTCTGACCATGGAGGCAGCACATAACCATCATGGCTAGTAGTCAATGATAGCCTTCTCCCACATGAATTTGCCCATCCAGATTGGTAGCCATTACTGCCTCTAGTGGGGAGAGAGTTTCATAGCTGAACTATTTGTTGTTGTTGTTGTTGTTGTTGTTGTTGTTGTTGTTGTTGTTGTTTAGGCATTTAGTCGTGTCCGACTCTTGGTGACCCCATGGATCAGAGCACGCCAGGCACTTCTGTCTTCCACTGCCTCCCGCAGTTTGGTCAAACTCATGCTGGTAGCTTCGAGAACACTATCCAACCATCTCGTCCTCTGTCGTCCCCTTCTCCTTGTGCCCTCCATCTTTCCCAACATCAGGGTCTTTTCCAGGGAGTCTTCTCTTCTCATGAGGTAGCCAAAGTATTGGAGCCTCAGCTTCACGATCTGACCTTCCAGTGAGCACTCAGGGCTGATTTCCTTAAGAATAGATAGGTTTGATCTTCTTGCAGTCCATGGGACTCTCCAGAGTCTCCTCCAGCGCCATAATTCAAAAGCATCAATTCTCCGGCGATCAGCCTTCTTTATGGTCCAGCTGGAGGAGGAACCGGCAAGCCACTCCAGTATCCCTGCCAAGAAAACTCCATGGACGATGACAACAGCTGAACTATGCGCTGCATGAAAAAGTACATTCTTGTATCAGTCCCAAATCTCCCAACATTCAGCTTCATTGAAAGTCCAAGAGTTCTGGTCTTATGAGAGACGCAGAAAAACTTTTCTCTCTTTACTCTCTCCATGCCGTGCATATTGTTTCTTATACACATCTAAGATGCTGCATCTTTTTCTCCAAACTAAAAAGTTGCAGATTCTGTGACCTTTCCTCACAGGAAAGTCACCCCGTCCCCTTGATCATTTGGGCTGCCCTTAACTGAAACTTTCCCAACCCTACAATAGGGTCAGATATTTCCACCTGTTCTCTGATATCAAGAAAGATCAAGCGACGTTTTTCTGTTGCATCATGGTGTCTCCTGATGTCAGTAGTAAAAAGGAAGGCCCATTGTGCTCTAGCCTTGCAATTGACACAGATGTACCCACACGCTGCTCACGGAGGACTAGGCACCCTTGTCTGCAACACTCTGCCCTCCTTCGCCAATTAAGCCAGATGGCGTGACTTCTCATCTTTTAAATAGGCTGTATAGCTTTAGACATCTCTGAACAGGAAGAGGAAGAAACATGAAGTCAACACAAACAGGTCACAATTGCCCTGCTGCTCAGAACTACCATTGACTCCAGGGGAGGGAGGGGGCAGAAAGAAAGACCTTTCTATAGTTTTGCACACTGTTCCAGACCCTCCAAGTGTCTCTATTTTCCAGGGACAGTCCCAGATTTCCAGAAGCTGTCCTGGTTTCTGATTTGATCACAGAAAGTCCCGCTTTTCCTTAGAAAGGTATGGAGTTACGTAACCCCCAAGCCAAGGAGATAAGTAACCATGCAACCTTTAGAAGACATCAGAAGTATAGGGAAGTTTTTTCATGTTTAATATTTTTTATGTTTTTAGGTATGTTGGAAGCTGCCCAGAGTGGCTGGGGCAACCCAGTTAGATGGGTGGGGTATAAATAAGAACATTATTATTATTATTATTATTATTATTATTATTATTATTATGATCCCTATTTTCATCAGAGGAATGTCAAAGGGTATGACTGCTCTATAAAGCTTCTCCAAGAGACAGGAATTTGGAATCTTCTAGAAGACTCCTGAAGAATTTGTAATTGGAATAAATCTTTCTCTTCATTTATTAAAGTTCTAATAAATTATTGCTTGCAATTCTGAATTATTATTTGACCAGCTAATTGGCCAATGTTATATATATATATATAAAACACACAATTAAATCTAAAAGCTGATTGGAACCTTGCAAATTTCCAATTTTGAGTTATAATTGACTAGGCTATAAATATACAATACCGAACTGGTTCTCCATCTTTTATTTTCCTGCTCAAAAAGCTGGTTTTGAGGGAGGGGGGAGATAATTTTTATATTTAAAGAGGGTTTTTTCAGGGTTTTAATCTCTTTCTAAACCAGAACAAATGCAGTGACTTCTTAATCGGGTTCAAGTGTGGCTTGACATGGTGCCTCTGTACCAAACAAAAGGCAACAATGTTGACTGATTCTTGTAAGAAAAAGCACAGCAAATTACTGTGTATTGGAATGAGCCAGCAGTGGAAAAAATGGAAAGAAAAAGGTTATTGAGAGGGGCACTCTTTGCAATTACAGGTAAAACCTGCCTTCCTTGTTTCTTTGACTTCCTAAATCTCTTTATAGAAGGCAATGTGGCCTATGTAATTGTAAGCCGGCTTACTCAGAAGGTCTAGAAAGGAGCTCTTCCTGCTTCCCTCCCCTTCACCAGTCCATCTCCTGCAGTCTTTTCCATTGTGACACTTTTGTAAATTTCTCTCCATTCATTATAAGGACCTACATGGAAGCTTTGCACCCGGCCAAATGAATGGGAGGATTTGGGGCTTTAATTTAAAACAGGGAAGACAATATTTCAGAGGCTTTAAGCTGGTCTTCTGTCTAGGTTTAGTGGGACGTATTAGAGCAGGAAGGGAGGTTAGAACAAGTTTCTGCTCAAAGATGTTACCATGGTGTGATGAATTGTGATCTCTGGACTGGCCTCAAAAGGCATTTAGTCTGTGTGTGATGAGCAGCAGAGGGCAGGGGAAGATTAAATGAGTCAGCAAGAGAAGCTGTCATCTCTAATTGAGCATGGTGCGGAATGAGGAGGGGCTCCTCATCTTACTGCAAAACCTGTTTAAAAAACAGGGGAAATGGGGACGGGGTAGAATTCCACAGGAATAATCTCATACCAACATATTCAGTCCTCCTGGACCATAAAGATACAGCTAGAGGAGCTCATCACATCCTTTGGGCTCTGTATGCTATCTGTAAAAATGCAGTTATTTGGAGAATAGTGTGTTTAAGTATATTGGGGCAGATCTGCAGCAGAGCAGACCTCCCACCTAGTCATGGGCAATTCCATTTACATTTCTCTCTGTTTCTCATTTTCCCAGGCTTAAGTTCATTTCCACATCATTTTGAGATTTTTAATTATTTTTTAAAGCCGTCATGAAAATTCATTAGGGAATTTGCCAGAATAACCATTAAGAAGGCCCGGGAAACACAATCTGTGGTAGAGAAATCTAGAGGAACTTCAAACAACCAATTAAACATGATTACTGTGGGCGGAGAGGTTTCCTAAGGCAAGGTCTCTTCCCGCTCCTGGGCATATTTACATGCCTCACCTGTGGCCCCCACAGCAAAGGGTTGAAAGGAGTTCTTCCTCCTTGCTACAGAAACCTTGGTTATGTGAACCTGGCAAGTGCAACGTAGCCCCACCAGTTTGGCTATCATGCCTTAACTGGTACCCCTACAGACCCTTGATGCCAAAGCAGCCTGACCAAAGAGTGCCTGGTACCCAAAAACTCTTGAGGTATTCATCCCACCAGCTCTTAACTTGTCCTTTCCCACCCAGAACAAAACCCACTCCACTTCCCAACAGTACAGATTAGGCAAAAAAAGAAGAGTCCCAAGGCCAAACAGGAGCTCACCCAAACATTCCTACTCAGCCCCCAAACAAGCAACTAATAAAGGTCATACAGCAAAAACAGGTTAAGAGGTCACTTTGAAGATACGAGTGATGAGTTTGGGGAGTAATCTGCTTATGAAGTCTAGCTTCATTCCTGTCTTGATTGGCCCCTTGGTCCACCTGACCGTATTCCAGCTCATCGGGGGGGGAGGACACAATTCTGAGTCTTTTTTCAGGGGTGCTGGAATGTGGCAGATTCACCCCCATGCAAGAATGGGAGCATCAATTTCCCAACAGGCACATTTCTGCATGCAATTTTGCATAATATACACATTTTTTCAAAGCAATTCCCCCCAATGTATTGAATCTTTGTATGCTATTTTTAACTAATTAATGCATTTTTATGCACTGTTTACCCTAGTGTGTGTTATATTTGAGTACATTACTTGACTGGAAAACTGTGTTGCAAAATTGGCAAAGTGAGGCTCTCAAAGGAGGGTTCTGTTTTGGTTCATGGATTGTTTCAGAAAGTATGAATTGCATGGTTTTCTCTGTAAAGGAGGAGTAAAATCAAATTTCTTCCCAATGCCTATCCAGACCTTCCCTCTTAATTTTCAGCTTTCTTTCTCCCCACCCCCATCCTTTTTTTAAAAAAAAAAAAAAGATAACACAGCATCACATCTCTAACTTTTTCTTGTGCAGATATAAAGTGTGCAGGCATCATTCTACCCAGCTGGGTACCAAAAAGTTAAGCTGCTTTCACTCTGTTCCCTTGCCACAGAATGTCTGTCTTTGGGACCACACAGAAAACCTCTGAATTTCCGTTTTCATCTGCTCTTTTGATCCTCTCCCACTGCACCAGAGTCAACTTTTCCAGGGGGACAAGGAGCTGCAATGGTAAAAGAGATCCTAGAAACCTTGGAACTCCATTGCAAGCATAAAAGATAAGAGCATAAGAGGAGCCTGCTGGATCAGGCCAATGGTCCATCTAGTCCAGCATCCTGTTCTCACAGTGGTCAACCCACAAGCAGGACCTGAGTGCAACAGCACTCTCCGTCCTTTGAGATAGAGATAGAGAGTTTAGCCTGGCTCTCATTGGACTGAATCTGTGTGCATCGCCTAAGAGACAGTGGGCATTGTCGAACTCAAGGAATGCTGACCACTTGTTGGAAGTATGATGATGATGATGATGATGATGATGATGATGATTTATACCCCGCCCATCTGTCTGGGATTCCCCTGTCACTCTGGGTGGCTTCCAACAAAATATTAAAATACAGTAATCCATCAAACATTAAAAGCTTCCCTAAACAGGGCTGCCTTCAGATGTCTTCTAAAAGTCTGGTAGTTGTTGACATCTGGTGGGAGGGCGTTCCACAGGGTGGGTGCCACTACCGAGAAGGCCCTCTGCCTGGTTCCCTGTAACTTGGCTTCTTGCAGTGATGGAACCACCAGAAGGCCCTTGGCGCTTCTGTATGAAACTGAATCCAGCTTCATACAGCAACTCTCCCTTCCTGTAGTTTCCAGGAGAAAAAACAACATCCTTTTCTCTATCCACTTTCTCCCTGCCATGCATAATTGTATAGATTTCTATCATGTCACTCCTTACTCACCTTTTCTCTAAACCTGTCCTCAGACTGCAGCCACTCCATCCCCTTGATCATTTGGGTTGCCTTTTGCTGAACCTTTTCTGACTCTACAGCATCCTTTTCTGAGGTTTGATCTCTCTGGGGCTATTGATTCCATCTAGGAATTCAGCTGGATATTGTAATACTGGCATGGACAGGCATTTAATGTTCTCTTTAGCAAGCGGAAGGCTGAACGAGCTTCTAACTGCATGTGACAGCTGTGTTTTGTTTTGCTTTGCTTAATTTGAAACACTGGTTGTCTGCTTTAGAGAATTCGGATCTTAGCAGGATGGGATTTGAGAAATGAATTGTTAACTGCTTCATGGTTCGTGAGCCATCGATATTGAGCAGTGTGCCCAGGCACCCAGAACCCTTAGCCTGTTCTTTGTCATATCATCACCATCATCAAATTTATTGCCAGCCCTTCACCAGCGCATCCCAGAGTAAATTGCCACAATTCAGAATTTAAAACAGTTAAAACAGGCTACCTTCGCAGGAATAGGGTGGGCTCTGAAGACACCTATCTCTTAGGAGACAGTGCCTTTACAGCATTCGCTGAAAGCTGTATAGTGAAGATGGCAGATACACCTCTGTTGGGAGGAACTTTCATGATTTAGGGGCTGTTGCAGAGAAGGCCCTCTCCTGGGCCATCACCACCTGAAACCTCTGAGGGTGGAGGAAGTACCAAGAGCACCCCTTCTGCTGATCTTGGCACCCAGTAGGGTCTGTAGAAAAGGAGGCAGTTACTTAAATATTAATATCAAAGAGGTTCAGTAAACACCCCCAAAGAGGAGATCACAAGTGACCAAAAAGGTTGTATCTGAGGAGACATCTTTTGTAATCATGCAAGGCTGGGAGGACTATGAGGATGAGGAGGCTGGCCATAAAATAATAGAATTGTGGAGCTGAAAGGGATCCCAAGGGTCATCAAGTCCAACCCCCTACAATGCAGGAATCTCAACTAAAGCATCCATGACAAATGACCATCCAACCTTTGCTTAAGAACCTCCAGTGAGGTTTAAAACACGACTTCAGAGGCATACTTGCTGCTCACTGCCTCTGAGGGAAATTAGTACCCTGGCATTCTAACGACAGGTGAGTGGTCCTTCCAACCTGTCAAAGTTGTGTCATGTGAGGGGGTGGGGGAGATAGTGTCTTGGTTCAATACAGCTTTCTGAAGGATTCAGGTGTGTGAGAGAGTTTTCCACAGGGAAGCCTCTTATGCACCCAAACCAAGAATTCAGTCCAGCTTACTGCAGGGGTCAGCTGCATGGGCAGCAAATCCTGTCATATCGAATCTTGGGCAGGTGGCCATGTTTTTGGGGAAATGGTCTCATGGGTCTAATGGAGAGGTTTGGTGGGCTCAGTCTAGCCTGTGAGCCAGAGGTTCCCAACTTCTGTTCTACATGGACCAATCCACTGCCATCTTCACTTCACTTCAGCTCCTAATTCCACTGGACGTTTTCACCTTGAAATGCTAAGTCTGTTCTCTCTCACACACACACCCATCACTTTTCTTTTTCCTTTTTCCTGTGGAGGTTGTTCGAGCTCTGTTGTTATGACAACTTAGCCCCTTCTCCTGGCCTTTTCTCCTCAGCTACCTGCGAGACAAAGGGTGACAAAGCCTTCAGCTAACTTTCCCTCTTTACATGTGTGACAAAAACCAACAAACAAACCCACAACACCATCCCCACCCACTGAAGACTTTTGACTCCTTCACACACACATACCTCACATGCAAACAAAGATGGTTTCTTCTTAGTGCTTGATACTCTGAAGCATAATTGAAAGCCCTCAGCTTTTGTGAGGGACCAATGAAGGCTTCTTGAATAGAAGGTACTTCCTGCAAAGTGCTTATATTCTTATCTATAAAGAGTGAGTTAAGGCAGGGACAATTGCCAGGCAGCTGCTTTGTAAAGAAGAAAGAAGGCAAGTGTGGAAGATTTCCAAATAAGTTTGGAAGGGGACATAATAGACATGCCAGGGAGGTAAATGGGTTTAAGATAAGGTTCTGCATGTCAGGTTAGACCCATGGAGAGAGAAATTCAAGGTGCTCTTCTCCTGTTTCCTGGTGGCAGAAATCACAGGATCATAGATCTATACCAAGTGCAATTGACATTTCTTCAATAATAGTGAGGTAGACTCTGAACCAAGTGCTTCACTGGTGTTCTTCAGAATAATAAGAAGTGGACAAAAAGGCATAGTTGAGTGGTAGAACATTTGTTTTGCATGCAGAAGGTCCCAGTTTCAATCCTCAGCATCTTTTTTAAAAAAGTTAGTTTTTATTGAAGTTTTTCTTGTCTTACAAAATAAACAAGGGAAAGTACATATATCATCTCCACTTTCGATTCATAGAGTCTTTTTCACAGTTCGTTAATGTTCAGTATGATACATTAATGTCACGGACATCTTACGGTTGGGGGAAGAGAAGGGAGAAAGAAAAAGAGTGAGGAAGAGATGGGGTATTGTTCTATTGTTCTATTAATCCCTGGCATCTTCAGGTAGGAGTGGAATGAGACCCCCTGCCTGAAACCCTGGAGACCATCTGCCAATTGTCTGATTCAGCATGAGGCAGCACCCTCTGTTCCAGATTGCAGAGGTTGGCAGTCAGCCACCTTTGGTGCCATCACAGATGTACAGGCACAAACACAGACCCTAACCGTTGATCAATAAAGATGGCATCACCAAAACACATGCGGTTTCAACAGTGTTATATTCAGGCACAGTAATCCCAGCTGCACAGAGCCCCCATAAGGAGAACCTAGTCTGCATACTCTCCTCTCCCACTGGACTATGAAAAGTCCCTGTTGCAAGTCTGGATTAAGAGCCCTACCCAGAGTTTTGTATAGAGTCCTATTCTCAGGCTGGGTGAGATTAGAGACAGGCTGACTCACTTCTGATTGACCGTAGAAATAGCTCGGTACATTTTTTAAACCAGTCTGAGGTTCATAAACCATCTGGCCAGAGTCCCCAAAACTGTCCCACTTTTTAATTTCCATATAGTGTGCCCTTATGGGGCAGCAGAAATGGCAAGAGGTCATATTGCCCTTGTTCCCTTTCATATTGCATTTGATGTGTTGCCACTTAAGTTGGGTACGGTGTTGGAAAAGAGGTTGGGGCTGGGTTGGTTGGAGGAATCTTGGGAGTGATGATGATTTATTAGACTTGTTAGTCACTTGTTCCACAGAGGTCACAGCATGTTTAAAAACAGAAATACATTATAATATTAATTCCTTCATTCAAAAACACAAGTAACTGGCATTTCCATCGACTGCCATTTGTTCCAGTTTAGCATTGAACTGTGGGGTTTCTGGGGGGGACAGACGCTCAGACCTGTGCCTAGAAAGCCTAAAGGGGCTTGCAAAGCTCATGTCTTCCTACAAGTTTTTATAAGCCCTTGAGTTTGTATTGAATCTAAAGCTTGGAGAACTCCACTGACATTCCTAGTTAAGATACAAATACCTGTGAGGCACCTGAATTAAAAGTGCAGCAGTCAACAAGGGGCGCCATCTTTAAACATGGCCTGCACACAACACTGACATTGTGTCAAAATATTTCTGCAGAGGGTGCAAAGATACCTGCAGAAACCCTGGAAATTGTAGGGTTTCCCATGTCACCATTTGAAAAGCTTTGTTCTAGAGATATAATACACAGAGAGAAAGGAATCAGAAGGGCAAGGATGTGGGAGCTCTTGAGTGACTTCTCAAGAAGTCACCACCTCACACTCTCAGGAGCTGTGTCCTTGCGAAGGAGGGATTTGGTCTGAAACCTCAGCAGCATCTACGATTTTTCTGTTAGAGAGATGTCATCATCCCTATTATGAGAAAGGGCAGAGAAGGCCGGATATCTTAATAGGGAAAATTGAGAGTAACTCTCTGGAGTCTTGGCTCTCTGTACCATCCTCAAGCCACTACATTATGCATTCATGGTTTTTTAAATATAATAAAAAGGCTGAAAGTAACCATTATGATAATGTCCAGGTCTCTTGACAACGCAGAACCGTAGTCTTTTCTTCAAGGATTTCTCAATAATGTATGCTGAGAATGCAATAACTTTTTTTTCCAGAAAGATTTGAAATAACACAGAGGCCGCCATGTCCCTGTATAAACTATTCTGACTTCATTACTTTTGTTTTCAATTTGGCTTTGTTCCCTCTTGAAGAGATGTGGACAATTATGAGCAATCGGTAGAGAAGTACTACGATGCCCGGTAGTTTCACTTAATTAAATTGTTACAGCAGGCAAAGAGGTTGACCACTAGGGATGGAGGAGAAATTTTGTTTAAAAGCTGAATCTATCAAATCCACACCTTCCAAAACAAAATGTGAACCAAATCACAGCTATCCTTCAAAAATGGCACTTATCTGAATTTTGCAATGAGTGTTCCAACCAAGCTGTGTTTACAAAACTGCATTTGTTGGGGCAAATTGCTTGTAAAATTGTGTACATTGGTCAAAACTGTACATAGATACGTGTCTGTTAGGGGGGAAATAGCACTAAATTTGTGATTCACCATATCTTAAGCAAAAAAACAAATACATACATTAAAAACAGCATTACGAAAGTGTAACAGACAATGTGTGTGTGTGTGTGTGTGTGTGAGAGAGAGAGAGAGAGAGAGAGAGAGAGAGAGAACATCCATCGATGCAAAAAAGTCATAAATAGCTAAAAGCCAAAGGCCTAATGAAAGAAGAGGGGTTTTGCCTGAGGCCTAAAGATATGTAACAAGGGTGCCAAGTAAGCTTCATTAGGGACAGCATTCCACAAGTGGGGTGCCACCGCTGAAAAGTATGTTAGGTGCATCTGAATGCTCATTCTGCTACAGTCTGCTCACATTGTCCTTTCCATCACAGTTTATCTTTCTTTTCACTTATCACAGGGCTGCAGATGGGGAAGGCGTTTGCATCTGCGAATGCTACCTCGTAGAGAAACACCTTTCCTGAATGTGCTCATAATAGCTCAACAAAACAAGCATCCATGTGGCATAGTGATGTTGGAACAGGGAGAGCCAGGTTCAGATTGCTATTCAGCCATGAATCTCACTAGATGTCCTCAGGCCAATGGCCTGCAGCCTGATCTGCTTTGTTCACTCGAGGTTACCAGTAACTCTTTCCTCTCTCTCTCTCTCTCTCTCTCTCTCTCTCTCTCTCTCTGGCTGACTTTCCCCAGTGTGCCAGATCCTTCCAAAAGGGGTGGTTGGTGTTCTGGGACCATCTTCAAGTCCTGCTTCCAGCTCCATCATCAGCAATATCTGTGGAGAGAAAGAGGTGAGTGTTGTGAATCTTGCTCTCAGCACTGCAGCTTATGGACAGAGGCTTGCAATGCCTACATGCAGCCAAGCAACTGGAGATTAAGGGACAGGTCACAGCTCAGTGGTAGCACACTTATTTCGCATGCAGGAGTTCTCGAGATCAATATTTGTTATCTACAGTAATCTACAGCACTCTCTCTCAAGCATCGTTCTTTAACCCTGGGTCCCTAGGTGCTGTCAGGCTACGAATTCTAAGATCCCTGACATTTGGCAAAGCCATCTGGGGACTCAAGGTAGAAGGACGCTGCTCTGAAGGGTCAGATAGCCAGGGAAGGAGGGGGGACCTCTCTGTCTGAGAACTTGGAAAGCCACTGCCAGACAATTTGCACAGTACCAGGCAGAATTGACCCATTCTGATTCTTCACTCCAAACTGGCTTTGCAGATTAACACATATCCACCCCCCTTTTTGATGTGATCGTCCAAAGACGGCCTTGAAGGCGGATTTTTGTCACTGGTGGAAAAGTTCGCAAAAAGCTGGTCCCCAGATGCTGGTTTTCAGTGCATGGCAGAAATAAATCCATGTCTGATCTCCTGGCAATTATGTTAGCGCTTACGCAACTACACCTCCCCTTCCTCCCATCCTCAGTACTCCATTCCTCTTTTTTTCTTTTTCTTTTTTTGGAGTCTTACATCTAATACAAAATCCTCATGGTAGGTTTCCAACCGGTGCACTTGATTTAATGTTGGATAAGCCCCACGCTCCCTGTGCTGACCAATCCCCATTCCCAGGGAACAGAACGGAGCTCTCATAATTCACCCGCTTAACTCCTAGTCGCATCTCTCTGCCATTTAGTGGACTCTGAAACGTGTCCCTTGCCACAAGGCTTTGGGAGTGATGGGAAGTCAACATGTCAATAGGAGGCATTCGCAAATAAATTGCAGTAATTCGCTGCCTTCGAGTTGCAGGAGTCAGGAGGTGTGAGATCTTTCTGTCGCCCAGCCTTTCTCCAAAGTTTTTAATTTGTGTATTGGATGCAGTTCTGCCTAGCAAGGGCAGTGTAGATGCCAGAGAGGCATGTAAAAAGTACAAAACATGGCCACAGAATTCACTTTCCGGCTTCTGTGCTTCTAAAAAGCAAGTTATTGTCCTTTATTGTGGTTGTGCCCAGACCATATATTTAAAGCACATGATATTCACCAGAGAATCTTGGGGAATGTAGTTTAACCCCACAGAGTTACAGTTCCCAGGATTCTTTGAGGGAAGCCATGTCCTTTATAAATGGATGGTATGTACAGTGCCATAAATACAAATAATTAAACAAAATCATTTTTGTCTCACCCTTCTTCCCTAAGAAGATCAGAACTGAAGAAATTAAAAAGAGCCCATATAAAATGATAGCAGCATGGCATCCAAAATACCTAGGAGAGCTCAAAAGCCTGTTTTTTTAAAAAACTAAAAAAGCAGCGAGGGAGCCATACAAATTTTCTGCGGGTGGGACTTCCAGAAGCAACCCTGTCATGTTTAGCAACCCTACAAATACCTGAGAGAAAAGCAAGATGGGTGCCTTGTGGAAGATCTTGATTCTCAGGCAGAGGTATGTGAACAAAAGTCATCCTTTGGGTAACCTGGACCCAAACTGTTCAGGGCTTTATAGATTAAAAACAACACTTTGAGCCTGTATTTGGAAAGGAATAGGTGGGCAGTGGGGTGGGGGAAGGGGATAACATGAACTTTGCATCACGCCTTCATGAGGGTGACCAAAAAACATGCTTGAAGTCTTCCCCATCTCTGCTCACGGGGGTATTTTCTTTCAAGTCACTTTGTTAAAATTCATATCTGCTTCAGTGTCTATTTTCAAAAACATCCTCGGTTTCCTTTCACCAGGGTCGGCCCAAGACATGTTGGCACCTGAGGTGAACCACAAAATGGCACCCACACACATCAGGGAAGAAAGATCTACATCAGGAAAAGGAGGGGCAGGGATAAATATATACATTTGGATCTACTGCCCCTATGGATCTTGCCACCTGAGGCAGCCACCTCACCTTGCCTCATGTGTGGGCTGGCAATGCCTCTACCTATTCTCCATGTTATCCTTACCCAGGTGCACCTATCACCTTTTGATGCCCTTATTAGAGACTAGAAAAATATCTGTCATTATAATGGGCCTATAAAGAAACAAGGGAAGAGATGTCAACCATACTTGGAGGTCATTTAGTCCTCTGTTCTTGAAACTTTGCACCAATCATATCCCACAGAGCAAATTTTGAGCTGGAACATTGGTTAGTGGGAGTGTACTTTCCTGGTTGAGTCTCTGACACCTTCAGTTAAAAAGGGGTCTAAGGCAGTAGAGCTAGAAACTTCCTGGCCCGAGTTGGTACTTCTGGGCTAAGAGCTCCAATGGTCTGATGACCCAGAACCATGTTTCCTAATCCATTTCCAACAGCACAGCAGCTAATTTGCAGAATCTGCCATATCTTTGGTTCAATAAAGGGACTTTCAGAAGGTCAGAACTTATGAGATCAGCCTGTAGCTTGGTGCTTTAAAAGAATTTGGCACCCATTGCAAAGGAAGCTGATTTTCAGTTCCACTGAGACCATGGGATTACGTCAATTTGCTATGTCTCTCAAGACAGCCAATTGAAAAAACATCTAGACTTTGATAGGACGGAGGGGCAAATCTCCTCAATGCTTCCTAAATGGTTGATGTGAAAGGTTTCATAGCAATTTATTTGAGTGAGTTGTGGGGGTTTTTTTAAAAAAATGAAGCTGTTGAAATTAGAAATGCATTAAGGTTTAAATATTTAATGATTTTCTTTGTGTCTTTGCTGAAATCTGTGATAGCATCTCTGAAGTCTTCAAAACCGTAGTGCTTTATTCCTTCTCAGTTACATTATATGCGTATTTCTTACGATTATGCTCTGCTACATACCTGGCACTTTATAACCCCTGTTAAATTATATGCATCTCTGGATAGTTTGCTTTGAGGAAACACCATGAAATGAAAGCTTAGAAGGGCAAGAAACACTCCCTTGTTGGCAACTGTAGTGGGTGCACTGTTGTCTCTGAGCAGAGACACACAGGGGCATAGCGTGTTTTGCTGACACCCGGGGCGGCAGGCAGGGTGGAGCGCATTTGCCCAGCTCTCACTGCCCACACTGCTGGGTGGGTACTCACACACTGGGCAGGGGTGGGTGCAGAGGGTACTCTTCACTGCTGGAGTCAGGCAATGCGCAATGTGGGGAGCACCTGGTTTGCCCCCCCCTCTGATTGTGCTCCGGTCCTGGGGCAATGCCCCCCTTGCCCCCCATGCTATGCCACTGGAGACACGTGACACATCGTGGCAGTGTCATGATGCCCTTCCAACTTCCCTTTCTCTGGATGCTGAGCTTCTGGCGGCTTGGGACAACTTTTCCCTCCCCTCAACTGCATCCCAGATTACTGTAGATATTATTTAAGCCAACAGAGCTTGATCAGGCTCGCTGAGAACAAAGCCATCCCCTTTCCCCATAGAACTTCTGCAGTACCATGTAGCAGAATAACCCAAATAATCCTCTGCAGGTGACATTAGATATATTATGGAGATGCTTCTCATTCAAAGGCCTGTGTGATGATTCTGCTGCTCTGAAACCCACTGTGGGCAGCCTGTTCAGCCCAGACAACCTGCACTCCCCATTGTCACTTGGCTGCCCTCCCACCTGTTGTTGCCAAAATGCTAGAAAGGGTCATCCCTGCTGCTCACTCACCACTGCTTTCTCTCTTCTTTCTCTGCCTGTATCTATTTCTGTTGCACACTGTGTGTTTGCTGGCTTGCCCCAGTACAGATTGAGAGTATTCTTCAGTGTCAAAGCGCTGCCATTAGGAACTCCTCTTTATATTCATCCTCATTTACTTCATCTCAGTCCATTGATCTTGGCCATTTTTCATTTCTTCAAGCATTCTCAGGGCTCATCCACACTTTTCCCTCACCACATATTTTGATTGTATTGTGTACCGATTAATTCCCCCAGGCCCGAGAGCTTTTCTCCTTCTTCCGCAGTCATGCCTTGCAAAAATCTGATCTTACACCCTGACTTGAAGCAAAATCCCTCCTCGGAATTTCCGCACATCTTGTAAGATTCGATTCAGCGGGTAAGATTGGAGTATTGCAAGGCGCAACTGCAGAGCAACAATAAAAGCTTTTTGACCCGCCCATGGGAATTAATTGATACACAATACAATCAAAATGTGGGTCAAGCAAAAGTGTGGACACGCCCACAGTATTTCTGTCATAGTAAAGCGGGTATGTGGGACGCGGGTGGCACTGCGGGTTAAACCACAGAGCCTAGGACTTGCCGATCAGAAGGTCAGCGGTTCGAATCCCCACGACGGGGTGAGCTCCCGTTGCTCAGTCCCAGCTCCTGCCAACCTAGCAGTTCGAAAGCATGTCAAAGTGCAAGTAGATAAATAGGTACCACTCCGGCAGGAAGGTAAATGGCATTTACGTGCGCTGCTCTGGTTCTCCAGAAGTGGCTTAGTCATGCTGGCCACATGACCCAGAAGCTGTACGCCAGCTCCCTCGGCCAATACAGCGAGATGAGCACCGCAACCCCAGAGTCGGCCACGACTGGACCTAATGGTCAGCGGTCCCTTTACCTTTACCTTTAAAGCGGGTATATCCAGGTGCACCTCAGATTGGGGAGATTGGGCACCGTGTTTCTGTGCTGCTGATCCCACACACTCCAGACCCACAAAATTATTCATCCCTGGGGTGGTGCCCTACTGACCTGTGCCGGCTGCAAGGTTGCATGACTGGAGACTTTCTTCCATGAGTGGAGGGCAGTATTTCACAGGGAAAGATCCCTGCTTCTAGTGCCAGAGAAATCTCTCCCAGTGCAGGGCAGAGGGCAGGGATGCATCGAAGAGGAATGAGCAGAATGGTTCAGGTTCTAGGACCCAGAGATGCCTGGCAGGAGACAGTGTGTCACAATGTGCTGAAGCTGGGAAAGGCCCCTACCTGAGATGGAGACAGAATGGCCTCAAGGAGTCAGGAATGGAAGAGAGTTGGGGTGGGAAGGCAGGAAACCTGTCTGGCACCCAGCTGAAAATTATTGGTTTGACTGCTACCCAATAGCATTGTTGCCCTGCATTTTTTCTGCTGTGCATTCTGAAAAAGAAAAAGAAATCTCAAGAAATTGACATATTTTCACATAGAGAGGGGATGCAGGGCTTCATCCCACTTAAAAATACAAAAACAAACTTCCTATCAAGAAGATGGGTTGCACCTATTTGGGTTGAATAGCGACAAGGTTTTCCCATCCAAGTATGTGTTAAATAGCAGAGCAATTGATTGTGGATTTCGCCCAAAACTGCTGTTATGAACGACCACTCTGCTTGGTTTTTTTATACCCAAGCTTCAGCAGAATTTTTGCAGACTGTACATTTTACATTTGATGACCAGTTGACCTCACTGTTTACAATTTCTTTTCCCTTTCTGTGCCTGTGTAACACACACATATCCTGGACTGCACACCTTGCAGACTTTTTTCTGGAACTAGAGTGGCACCTAATAAATGTTCCGTATCCATAGGGAAAGGGCTATAGCTCGGCCACAGAGCATCTGTTCTGCATGCAGACGACTCCAGGTTCAGTCTTTGGCATTTCTGGGTACTGCCAGAAACCCTGGAGAGTTGCTGATAGTCTGTGTAGACAGTACTGAACGCATGGCCCAAGTGTAAAGCAATGCGCTACACTAATATATCAACAAAGCAGAAGAGAGGAGAGCTGCTGTACAGGTTCAAAGCTGAAGCAGAGAGATGTGTAGAAAGAACAGCCCAAGGTCATCCAAGGTTCCCAGCTGAGCCAAGAGTTTGATCCCGAGTCTTTCCCTCCATACCGATCCCTTCATCCAGTTGACGGTGTTTGGCTGCGAGGCTCGGATTCCATCTGGCACCGCTGAATGATCAACAAGCCCATCCTCATCCTGTGGGCGCCCCGTCTGCTTTAGTTAAGAGAAGCTGCCTGGAGGCACACAGCCTGCCTTTCTCCCTCTTAATCAACCCCGGGCTGAGGGCCGTGGAGTGAAATCGAGGCGGATAGCAGCTTATTGCTCTTTAACTTTTCTATTACCAACCAAACTGCTTATGCCTCCAATAAAACAGCCACCGCAGCTGGTTAACAGCCTTCCCCCAAGAGGTGTGTGATTGCAGGCACAGGGCAATAGCTTCCGGAAGCCCTGGTAATGGAAGCAAAGAGGACTTGACATTTCCCCTAATGTGGCATAACCAGATGTTTCCCTTTGCCTCGTTTTATGCTTCTTCCAAATCATTTGCTTTGCAAAAAAAAAAAGCAGCACATTTCTCTGTTTTCCCCTTGCATCTCACAAGCGCTCTGAACCATATCATCCTCTTGGATCTTCCGTACCTGAGGTGGTCCCCTGACACCAAGTCCCCAAGATGAGTATAGGAAATAATGCTTTGAAGAAACCACTCAGTTCCCCTTGCTCAGAGCCTGGTGTCAGTGAGGTTCCCTGGGAGGCTGCCAAACTCCCCTTTCTCTCCTTTGATTTATTAATGGCAAATGAGCTATTATTAGGACTCATGGCTCTGGTCCCTCTGGAGAATGAGTCTCGTGGTAGCAGATTTCTTTCTTCAAATGCAACAGGAGTGCAGACTCAAATGACTGGCTGCATTGCCTTTAATCCTTCTTAGAGACTAATAATGAGGGTGCAGTTATGAGAGTTTTGCAACCAATCACAGAAAATCCTGCAATGAGGAGGTCCTGCAATTTTTAGATGAACCACTCCAACACATTATGCCTTGTCAACCTCTTATCTAAAGGTGGGCAGTTGAGAAAAACTCATGTAATTTATGTCTGGGGAAGTGAAGTGATTTAAATCAGTTTTGGCTGGGGGCTGTTGGGAAACCAAGGCGAACAACAGTAGGCAGAGCCAGAAACAATGGCAGGCAGAGCCAGTGAATTCTAGTTGTGTCCCCATCCTCCTCCTGGCTGAGTTCTGCAAGGGGAAACACTTGGACGAAGGAGGAGGAGGACAACCACATGTGGTGGTTGTGTAAAGTAATTAAGAAATTCTGGGAAATGATCTATAATGAACCAAAAAAAACCAAACTTAAGAGAATATCTCCCAAGAAACCAGAAGCTTTCCTTCTGGCAATAGTAACCACAGAAGTCTCTCTCTCTCTCTCTCTCTCTCTCTCTCTCTCTCTCTCTCTCTCTCTGCACTTCTTGCACAAAAATGGGAAACAGAAGTAGTACCGACCAAAGAGGAACGGCACTTTAAGTTGTTGTAATATGCAGAGTTAGCAGGTCTGACTAGTAAGATAAGAGAACAAGATGATCAAGAATATAAAAAGGATTGGAAAATGTTTGTGGAGTATTTTAAAAATCCGTATAAACAAGTGAACAGATTAGCAGGACTTGAATAAATTCAGTAGTATAAGAGGAAGAGAAAATTAATAAAACTTGGTAACTTAGAATATGCAGAACAGAGAGAAAAGAAAGGACACGAGAGACGGAGAGGAAGGAAAGTCCTTAGGTGTCTTTTGTTGTGTCCTTGATTGGTTGTCGTTTTCCTTTCATTTTTTCCCTTTTAATTTATCCTTATTCATTTTGAACTGTATGTAAAAAAAAATGCAAATAAAAATTACTTTTTTAAAAAAAGGAGGAGGAGCCTAACAGACAGTGCCACCCTCTGGACTGGGTAGCCAGCTGGGTGGCCAAATCATGGTTATACAGCAGCCATAGGCAAACTCGGCCCTCCAGATGTTTTGAGACTACAATCCCCATCATCTCTGACCACTGGTCCTGTTAGCTAGGGATGATGGGAGTTGTAGTCCCAAAACATCTGGAGGGCCGAGTTTGCCTATGCCTGTTATACAGCAAAGCTTGGAAGATTGAGGGCACACAGTGCATTGTTAAACTATGGCACTTGCTCTGATGGCCAACAGCTCAGACTGCTTTAAAAGAAGATTGGACAAATGCATGGAAGAGAATTCTATCAATGGTTACTAGCCAGGATGGCAACACTGCCTGCATGCTCAGAGGCAGTAACAGGCGGCATTGTGGGGAGGGGGGCGAGCTGCTGGGGTGATGGCCCAAGGTGCCTTTTTGGGGGGATACTGCTCACGCCGCCCTGCCAGTCCTGCGCCGCTTTGCAAGTCTGGGATCTGATCTGAATGATTCTTCAGGAGAATCATGCAGACCAGATTCCAGCATTGCAAAGCGGCGCAGGACTGGCAGGGTGGCATGAGGAGGATGCAACAGCCATGTGCTCTTTGGTCATGCCCTCACTTCTCATGCCACCCTGCCAGCCCCAAGTCACTTTGCGAGCCTCAGTGGCGAGGGCTGGGCTGGTGTGGCAGGCTCCGTTCACCCTCCACCCCAGGTGCCAGCAAACCATGCTATGCTACTGGTCAGTAGTGCTTCTGAACCCCAGTTGCAGGAAGCCGCAGGAGGGGAGAGTGTTCTTGGGTCCTGTTTATGGATGTCCCACATGCATTTGGCTGCCCACTGTGGGAATAGTTTACTAGCCATTGGCCAGATCCAGTAGCATCTTTTATGTTCTTATTATTTGGGCATCTTGCACTTTATTACCATTTAATTTTCCTTTTGGAAAATGCATTCACCACTTGGAGGGGAGTTTTTCAGAAAGGATCAGTTTATCTACATTTTATCACCACTGTCACCACCTCTGTATCTTAAAAGCAAATCCAGTGGATGCTTTTGTCCAATGTAACAGGCTGCTATGACATGATGTTATGACTAGCTGTTAAGTATAAGAAAAAGGCAGCTGGGGAGGTGGCAGGATGAGGCCCCATTCACCCTAATGCACCAGCCTCCACCATTGTGTGTATTCCCTGGATGATTTATATATACATTTTCCTTTCTCTCCTCCTTTCAGGTTCCCCATTTCAAGGTTGCCCCCGAAGAATTCCTCAAGCTCCAGTTCCAGAGATTCACGACTTTGAACCTCCATCCCAGCAACACTGACATCAGCGTGGCTGTTGCTGGGATCCTGAATTTCTTTAACTGCACCACTGCCTGCCTCATCTGTGCCAAAGCTGAATGTAAGTTGCTTTGGAAGGCTGCTCACAGAGCCAAGCGTCCACCCTGTGGCGTTCCAATTTGTACAAATCGTCAAGACAGTGATGGTTGAGACCGGAGACAGAAAATCCCACAAACCCCTCATCCCATGCCTGGCAGCAAAAAACGCAATCGATTAAACAACTAATTGTTTGCTCCTCTTTTGTAACTCCCAGAATCAGTGACCTGAGGAAGCCGCTTCACTCTACCTAAAGATAGGGCTGGCACACACCTTTGTGGCAAGGGCAGGTGGTGGGAGAAAAGGGAAGCAAAGCCTTATCATGGAAGCTAAATAAAATCTTTCCTCTTAAAGTCTCTGAAAATCTTTAAATGAAGCAAAGTACCAGACTTTGTATGATGAAAGACAAGCTGTGAAGCTTTGTGTATTCAGCAAATATGATGTCCAACACTGAACAGTGATTTCGGATATTGACTACTGTTTCATAGAATTCTTCATCAGCGTGGTGGGAAGATATAGAATTGCTTCATAAACTGAAAATGCAGGTCATCGTCTAAAAATTTTATTTTCAGTTTATGAAGCAATTCTATATCTTCCCACCACGCTGATGAAGAATTCTATGAAACAGTAGTCAATATCCGGAATCACGGTTCAGTGTTGGACATCATATTTGCAGAATACACAAAGCTTCACAGCTTGTCTTTCATTGTGCAAAGTCTGGTACCTCGCTTCATTTAAAGATTTTCAGAGACTTTAAGACTAAAGATTTCATATAGTACTTGTTATGGTTTGAAGGAATTCTATGAAAGATTGTCTATTGCGTATGTACATGGTCATCGTGTTTCCTAGATATTGCTGACGTTCTCTTTGCAACACAGGGGTTTGTTTGGTTACATATCATGGAAGCTGGCTTGCAGTCAAGGGAATTCTTATTGTGAACAAGCCTACACTGAATTGATTCTCGTAATTTCAGAGCACATACATTTTGATGCAGAATTCAGATTTTGTTGCCTTTCATTTTGTCTCTTGTGCAAAGTATATAGGGCTCTTCACGCCATAACAAATGTGAAACAACAGAGCTTCACTTGCCCGCTCCCTTCCACTTACCACCCAATGTCTGCAACCTTCTGAAAATGAATAATAGTGTACGTGCATGTCTTCCTCCATGTGTTTGCCTGATACATTCAGGGCCCCTCTAGACTAGTGTATTATTGTGAGTGCATTCTGAAAATATGGCCAGATTCACACACTATATCTAAAGCCCTATGATACCACTTTAAACAGTCATGACTTCTCCCAAATCATCACGGGACCTATAGTTTGTTTAGGGGGCTACAGGTAGTTAGCAGCCTCCCTCATACTCCTCCCAGGACTACAATTCCCATAGTTTCCTGTATAGAGGGATTGCTTGTTAAACTGCTCTAGGAATTGTAGCTCTGGGAGAGAAATAGGGGTGTCCTAACAATTCTCAGCAGCCTTAACAAACGACACTTCCCACTTCTTGGGGGGGGGGAGTCATGTCTGCTTATAGAACTTTAAATGTATGGTGTGAATGTGGCCATATTCTTGACCCAATGATACTGCATTATTGGCAAATTTATTCTTCTTAGGTTGCTTCTGGGATTCTTCCCCAATGCTACCACACTATTGCTGTCTGGAGGGGCTCCGGTGCGACAAAACAAACCAGAACGTGTGTGGTATAAAAAAAAGTACAGGATTTCAGCAGGAAGCTACAAGATATGCACTGAGATGAGATGAAGTAGTGCCATTGCCCCAAAACTTTTGCATGCACAGACAGCATTGAAAGTGGAATGTATTTATGCACACTCTGCAGGTTGATCGCTGTGTGTATAAATTTATTCTCTGCGTACATGCCCTTATGTGCTAACCCACAGGTGCTGCACACTGGAAGGGTGTAGAATGCAAGTGGTGCACACAAATGCCTGGCACTGTTCTGTCCCTGGTTAATTTGATCCTTCATTTAACAGGATCAAAAAAGCTCAGGAACCAAATCGCTTTTACAATAGCACGGCACCCAGCCGTCCATTGAGTCAGGTTTGATTGCTTTAATCAGGTCGATTGGATGAACCGGTTGCTGACTGGGGTGCAGTGGTGTGGAAGAGGGAAATGACCCTTCACAGATAAAACTGTGGTGTTGCCCTGCAAGCCTTGATCATGGGCAGCCTTGGGGATGCCCCATCTTCAAAGGCACAAGGGAGAAAGAGCTGCAGTTCAGCTTCCTTTTTTTCTTTTCAAATCTTTCTTTCTTTGAAGGAGGAGTGGAAATTCAGCACTGAATGAAGACGCCTCTGTATGCAATGAGAACTCAGTTGAGACAGGGATGGACTCCATTCCCCCCCCCCTTTTCTAATGTGGGCAACATGGAGTTGATGATTTATGGCTGCTTGTCAACCTTAAGGGGGGAAAATAGGAGGGAGTTTTGTGGGTTAATGGCAGAGTGGCAAAATTAAGCTGTGTTGCGCTAGCTCTGAAGCCAGGGAAACAAGGGCAATCCTTCAAGGCTGAGATTCTGTGGGATTCCAGGAGGAGATGGGGCAGGGGAGGGTCAAGAGCAGGTCTCCAGCTCAGATGTTGCCTCCACTGTTTCCCTCCTCACAGGGAGAAATGAGCTGTGATTTCCCACGTCTGTTTAAAAATGGTTTCTCGCTGATCCTAGGGGATATAAAGCCTGCTTTAAAGTTCCCAGTCTTCGCTTTTTCCCATGGTGGTGCAGGGGAGTGCAGAGTCCTAAAACTTCTTTACGATCTCTCGGGAGACCAATGAGAATCCCAGGAGTCAATTGACAGAATATATGCTCAACAACATAAAATATGCTGTGCACACAAGACAGGCCCAG